AAACATGTCCCATAAAGAGGGCTTTATCCACATGTCTATTAGATGAAAATTGGTCTAAGGTCAAGCCATTTGCAGCATTCTCATAGGCTTCGATTTTTCTTCCCATCCCACCACAGATAATCTCAAATGTGATTCAGTAATGACCAAAAGTGCAACATTGACCTTTACTCTCCAGTGGATTACTGTTACATGCTGTAAACGGCAGGAAGTCCGTTTTGTCTCTCCAGAAGGAGTTCAGCATTGTACTTGGCTTTCTATGTGTTGAAAGTGTAAACAGAAGCAGAGTGCTTAGGAATTACCTTCTAAATGTTTTGTGAGTGTGATTTGACAGTATATTAATTTCTGTGTATTAGAGACTGATTCTCTTGATTCTTTTGCATGAAAAGAATGAATTAGGTTGTGCTTTTTTGGTATCATCAGAACTTTAGGTTTTCTTGCTTTACGCTAATAGTGTTGCTCCTAAGCTATGTTTTTCTTCATTTAATTACAAATTTGATTCTAAAAATTGGTCAAAATAATAAAGTAAATACAAATGTAATAAATGAGAATGCAGAAACCCATCCTTAAGAACTGGTGATAGAGTGCTTTCAAATCTGATCTAACTTTGTGTTAATGGAACTTCAGTGCAAGAAAGAATAACAAGCTTTTGACATACAATGGACATTTTTAGCTGAGCATTGCTTTGTAAAATAAGGTCTGGACACCTTTGAGGAGTCTCAGCACTAATAATAGAGCAGCTGTTGCAGCACAACTGATTGCTGAAACTAGTTTGTTGTAAGACTTAATTTTTGCCTTAAATCACTCTGGATGCTATAGCCAAAATTACTACTGGGACGTGAATTGATATGGTATATTACTACTGGGAACATGTATTTGGAGCAAAACCAAAATTATTACTGTCGAAACCTCTGAAGCTGAAAGGTGATTAACTAATTTTCCTCAGAGAAAGTCTGCATTCTTCACTCAGAAGTGAGAATGCTGGTTCCCATAAGCTAGGGCTTCCAGCATTTATACTTACATACACATAGGTATTTATTATGGTGTGAAATAGTTTGGATACCTGTATTATACTTCCTTCTTTTCATTCCAGTGCAAAAATCTGTGCGTTCCAAGGAATCATGTTGATTTAAGTATATCTTATGTGGTGCTTTGGAAAGTACGGGCTGTCAAAATGCACAATTATCTGGAATAGACTATTGTAAAGGAAAACACTTCTATACTTTTTTCTAACAATGCAGAAGGAAAAAATTTGCAGTTATATATAAAAGCTTTCTTAACTGCTTAGTAAAATGCCTTATTTAAATAAGTACATTTAGTAACTAGTCTGGCTGCTTGGTTCTTTGTCATTATGTTAAGAATTCACTTTAGCAAGAGACAAACTTAAGTACAAACACTTGAGTTTGGCAATGGTTAGGTCAAAACATTTAAGTCCTTAACTAAATGGAACAGAGACAAAAAAAATTACATGAGTGAAGAGAAAAAAATCCATCAGCTCAACTTAATTTTACAAAATGCAGCTGTATTCCTTCATGTTAATTTTTAATGATACTTCAGAAAGGAGGGTAGCGCTTCAGTCAGGGATCTGACAAGCTTGTCATTTGCAAATAAATCAAAAGATAGTCATTACAACAGCAAGAACCATTGAATGATATAGTTTTGTTATTCTTTGATGGGCCCCACACTCAAGTTCTCTATTAAAAATGAATGTATTCAAGAGGTTCTGCATTAAGAACACAAACAATTAAGGGCACTTCAGATACTTTACTAAGAACTTCCATAGAGCTCTGAGGACTTTCATGAGAGATACAGGCTTCTGTAGTTTGCTTTACCGAGGAGCCAAAGAACATGGGTGATTAGTCATGTTTGTCTATGTTTGAGCAGCTTTCTGCAAAATTTCCTTTGTTTATTCATTCTTCTGACTTCTCTATATGTCTGGAGATCAGTAGTTAGATAATAGTTTTATTATATTGGGAGGCCTCTAGGAATAGGCGATAAGTACCTTTATTTTAAGACTCAGATTCATGAGCCCCAAATCCGGGGACTTACTCTAATGACACGAGTTACTGATGTCTAGTCTTGATTAACGAAACTCCTTGACTCTTTCAGAAAGGGGTTTTGTTTTCAAGAATGAATGTAGACACACACACATGCTTACACCTGTGTACTCAAAGGTATTTAATCTTAAAAGGTGAATGCTTTTTGAACAGTTAGATTTATATTCAAAGTAACAAATATTCCTTTTTCTCAATTCTGAAAACAATCTCTTGCAACTCTTGATTGGCAAGATGAGGTGAATTGTGCATTAAAACCTCACTTTCACAACTTACTAGACAACAAATATTTTTTAAGATGTTAGTGAATAAGAATAGTTTCTTACTAAACATTTGACGGCAGGAAACAGGAGATGTATGAAATTCCATAATGGATAAGTAATTTTAAGTACCTTATTTACATGTGTGAAATAATTCTAGTAAGCAGACTTTTGTTACGATGTTTAGAATAGCCTCTTCAGTGTAGATGTCTCTTAGCTGGCACCTGTAGCAGTGTCAAGAAATCTCAAAATAAACTTATTTTATGGCATGTTCATACAAATTTACCTAGCACTGTGGGTGAATTAAGGTTGCTGTTCGTATATGATCATCAATGATGTCTAGCTTTGGTAAAGACAAACTAAGAAGGATACTTTTTTTTCCTGTTCTGATATGAAGTCAGTCATGATAGTACTGAGACAATAATTTTAAAGTAAGAGTGACATGGAAAGGGTTCATTATGCCCTCTGTTTTAGAAAATAAATAAATAAAATCTAATTGAGCTGTGTTGGGACTGGTAATTATCACGTGATACTGCATTCTTTTGCTTACTTTGTGACGTGCGTGCTATGTTATTGCAGTGTTATTATAGTGAAGCTCAGATATTTGGGGAGAAAAACCCAGTAATGTGGACAACTTCCATGTTTTTATAGGGTTAGAATTTTTTCCTCTGACCTCCAATCAGGAAGTCTGGAGACACACTATCTTTAATGCTGCTGGTGCTTTTGGGAACGCACGCAGGATCACTCTTGAGGAGAAAAGACAATGCAGAAAGAATGATATCTTCCAGAATATACCAGCTAAGGAGTCTTTCTGCTGTGCCTTTTGCAACCGGACGTGCCTGTCTCGTATTGGCCTTTTTAGCCACCAGCGTGCTTGTAACAAACTGGGTAGAGACCTTCCTAAATCTTTGTTTTCAAAGCCTAGCCATGATGATGATGATGATTTTTCCTTACAGCGACAATAAGGATACTTATCTCAGAATAGGAAGACTTTTGTGTATGCCATACAGGCCAAAGAACTTTTCAGTAGACACCACTCACTAGTTTCTTACTTTATTCTTTTTCTTTCCTGTCTGTCATCTGCTATGATTATCCTGGCTTCTGTCTTGAAAAACAAAGGTAATCCAGTTGGTCTAGGGCAATTAACTCCTTGGATCCTAAACATCTTAGCTAAACATCAGCCAAACAGATTGCTATGAAACAGAATTGTTTTCCATAGCTGATTTACCTTGCTTTCTGGAGAGATATAGTAGGTGTGTGGAAAAATACCCTTTAGTACGTGTGCTTTTTTTTTCTTGTTAGTAGAGAAGCACCAACAGATTTAGTAATAGTTAAGTCTGATAACTGATAATAGTTAAGCTGGTAACTTCCTAGTATTGACTTTGCTAGTAGGTATGTAGTACTAGTACTACAGGTTAAATATGGAATTATGGATGTTTTATGGTCATGAAGCAGAATAGAAACAGACCACTGTGGTACTCTGTGAAATTATAGATGTTTAAGCTGATAATATATGTGTGTTCCCCTTGTTGCAGGGAGGAAAAGATTTACTCTAAAGTTGCTTCATTGTCCTTAGTTAAGGAAAACCTGTTTATTCTAGGAAGAAACTATCCCAGAACTGCAAAACTTCAGTAGTTGTGTCAAATACCAGTCTTTGGTCAGGTGGAGTGGTTCGTGTCAGAAAGTAGTGGTGTTTTACAAGTCTCACGAGTCTGGATGCTAGATGCTATCCTGTATTTTCCCAGTGTCTGTCAGAGGTCTGGAAAGAGGTGTTAAAGCTTGCTGACTTAGATCCTAAATCACCTGTATGCTGAGACATAAAAGGAGAGGGTGGCTTTTGTGTCCTAATTATTGTGTGACTGATCTATAAGGATCAACACATCAGTGTCTTCTAAAAAAACTCAGGATGATGGGAAAGTTCAGGACAAGGCTTGGCAGAAGATTTAGCAACATTTTAGTCTGACTTCTTTAAGCGAGTTTATCTTTGCTCAGGTTTAATACTTGTCATTTCATGGAAGGCCTAATGATTCGCAGCAGTGACCTCTTGTCTAACCCCTGGCAAACCAAGAAATATCTTTATGGATTAATGCTATTATTGACTATCACACTTTCTGGTCTAATTTTTTTCTTGTCTGCAATATTTTAATTCTCTTTCAATATGGATTTTTGAGGTCTGTACTTTTTGTCTCAGTTCTTCCTTAGTTCTGTTTTGGTATTTCTTTCATATGCCTGATGGTGTGTTTCTGTCAGTAAAATAATTTTACCTTCTAATAGGCAGATAAAATTGATCATGAAAGAAGTATTTTTCTTCTACGCCTGTTGCATTCATGTTATGCTGCTTGATAATTTGAGTAATAATAAATTTACCTTTTAAAAGGCTTTTACTGGGGCTTAATGGATTTCAAAAATGCTCTACTTGTTAATGAACTTTATACGAGGACCAGATTTGTGCCCAAATGTGTATACAGATTAGGTACTTTAGACATGGCAGATGTCCTAGAGTAGCTAACTAAATCTCTTTTCTCATCTGGTCTTATATATTAAGTATTTACATTTGCAGTAGTATGAAAAATGGGTATTTTTTTGTTACTTTTTTCGCTGTCTGAACTTAATATAGTCCTGCATACCAGCTAATGTATGTCAAAACCCCTAAAACACAGTTTTTAATCAAAATACTTTTCCTCTGTAGACAGAAATCGCCAAGAGATTGAATACAATTTGTGCACAAGTCATCCCATTTTTGTCTCAGGAAGTAAGTAAAACTGTTCAGCTGTTAAAGTGCAATTATGTTGTTTTTCTGTTTGCAAATTAGCTAGTTTTAAGATGTTAATTTCATCACAATACACAAGTGTAAGGAACATCTGTTAGAGCTGAAGTGTGCAAACCCCCTGCTAATTTGGTCTAACAAATCTGTGTTCAAACTGATGAGAATGGCTCAGCCTCATTCATTGCCTGAGGGAGAGTGGGAGTCTGTAAAATAGTACCAATACAAGAAAATGCTTTCATTTCTAATCATGGTGATTGCTTATTAGATATTCAGTTGTCAAACGTTTGCCTACTGAAATAAACATGCTTATCTTCTCTGTACAATTTGTATCAAACTTTAGCATTAGGGTGAGTATTTAGCTAGGATGCAAAACATTGTTTAAGGTTATAAACCTACATATGATCTGAATGACTGTGATTTTAGTGTATTGTGGGCAGCTGCTGTTATGTTTTGAAGCTTGTTATTTTCAAACTCTGCAGTTGATAGAGAGTGTTTTTTATTCTTGAGTTCAGCAAAGCTCTTTTCCATGTTTGAAATTTCGGTAAATTCTGTTGTGTGGGCACAGAGTATATAAATGTTAAAACTGACACTAGTGTGAAGTTGACATTATTGTCCTGTCAGCTCAGTTAAAATGATTATTCAGTTGCCAGGAAATTAATAATGAAATGGCATGGGGTAAGAGATAAACTATCTGCCTTCAGGGCTCTTGTTTCCTTGTGAACAGGTGATAAATAGGCCTCTATTACCTTTTTTACCTGCATAAGATGTCTTGCAATAGGTAGTCTGGGCTTCTGCATTCAAACCGGTTATTCAAGTGTTTGTGATCCTGGTTTGATTTGGTGTGGTCAATACTTTAACAAAAATTCCTCCCCATACCCTTTCTTCTTTTAATAGCATCAGCAACAAGTGGCCCAAGCTGTAGAACGTGCCAAACAAGTGACCATGGCTGAACTGAATGCCATCATCGGGGTACGTGGCCTTCCAGGTCTACCTCCTACAGTGTGTATAACTTGCTTTCATATCTTACAGCTTTGCTATTTTTAAAATAAACTTAATGTCTTGATATCTAACACCGTTTTGATGTCCAGTGTTGCTGAAGTGTTTACGCTTCACACAGATTTTAGCAGGAGTAAGAAAAAAAATAGTTTACTTTGTCAGAACATCATTTTGTTCAGCAATGCTGCATATAACAAAACTTGTCCTTCAAGAAATATAATTATTAGGAGAGTTGCTTGTTTATTTATAGGTTTTGAATGTCAGTTGATCTAGTTACTTTTACCTCTTGCTTTTTGTGACACTTGAGTTCTTGGAGCCTGTACAACTATTCATTCTTCTTTTTTTCCCTTTCTTGTGAATCTTTCATGAATTTTAAATTAGCAAGCTACTGAATAGAAACTTCACTTGCTTTTGAAGTAGTATTAATTGTCTGACACAGTGTTCTAATAGCCTTTCACCAAGAATGTGCTTTTAAATATGCTGAAAAAGTTAATACTACTTGCTTGTGACTGGTTGTCAATCACAAGTCACTGGCTTTGTATTAATGAACTTTTTGAACCATACATTCCTTCCACTGTATGAGTTCATTTCCCCTGCCATTAAGTGTAGAATATTTCTCATGTTTTGTGTCCTTCCAGACTAAGTGAAAGAAGTAGCTGAAACAAGAACCTGTCCTTTCTGATTTTATTCATAAAATTCATCTGCCTTGAGTGGATTCAAATTACTCATTTATCAATTTATGTTAATTGCTTGTGAAAAGATGCCCTGCTGGTCTTTATAGTTCCCTCAGACACTTTGTAATGATAATTAGACATGCTGCTGTATGGATTAACAGTGCCATAGTCCAATGACGTCTACAGACAATGGAACCGGTTAATCCATCTGTGCTTAAAATTACATCCCAACTGGAGATGGAAAAAAAAATAGGAGTGAGGGAGGATTGAAAGAATGAGCCTCAGCTTGAAAACGCTCCTTTCATCAGTTTCTCAATTGCAGATCTGCAGTCGGTTTGCCTGTGGTAAGCTATTGGCAGTCAATTAGGTGAAATAAACTGGGAGGGTGACCTTCATTTCCTTTTAATAGCTTTTCCTCCCTGAAATGGGGAGCTTCAGTGGATTTTCAGCTTAAATTTTATTCAAGCTGCTTTATTACACTTGACAGATTAGCTTTGCTTAAACATATCCCCCCTTTCAAATCTCTGCTGTTTTTCCTTCGTATCAAATTTTGACTGTTACTTAGTTGATTTGCTAATCACATCTTAGAAACCCAACACAATTACATCTGTATTTGTCAGACTCTCCTCTGTGCTTTGCTTGTGTAATGAATTACTTTATGAATACCTGATTTGATCTTTGAAATACAAGCACATGTACACTTGTAGTATTTGATTAACAAAGGTTGAACTGTACTTTCCTGTATTTTTTAAAACAAATGACTTATTTAGGATGAAAATGGAATGGAAACCCTTCTTAATGAACTAATTCTAAAGAAGAGTTAATGCAGTAAAAGGAAATATGTATTAAAATGTATTTAAAAACATTCTTGCTCCACTTAGGATAGTGCTACTTAGACAAACCAAATTTTGCTCTCTCAGGCATGTAATTTACTTCTTTTTATGTCTGCACAATGTAGTCTTTTAAAAACCATAGAATCTACAAGTATCACATGCAATTAATTTTTTTTTTTTTTGAGAATAGAGGGACATTCTTTGGAAGCAGGAATAGAAGCCTCCACCTTTTTTGGTTTTTAATTGTCTAATATTTCACCTGAAGAGATACTTTCCTGTGTCTTATGAAAGACTTCCGAATGATGCGATACAAATCCAAAACTGTGAATGAGGAAATTAACACATTGGGCACAAAGTTTGTTTCACCATGTAGATGCGCGCGTATACATAATGCTGAAATTAGATGTACATCCCAGTGATCTTTTGCAGTTATATTAATCAATAGTTACCTTGTGCTGCACAATAAGTTTCATACTCCGACATGCGCTTGGTTTTCTTTTAAAGGGACAGTGTGTGTCCTGGAAAATCTGAATAGCATAAAATCAGGTTGACAATTCAGTGGACCTTTTCTCCCCCTCACTGAGTACTAAGGGTGTCAAACCCTTTCCCCAGAAGGGAGGACACATCAGAAGCTTGTCTGTTCCTATAAGCAGCAGCTGCCGTGAGGCTGAGCACGGCACAGTTTGATAGCAGCTGTCAGTATTGTTCAGGGACCCAACTTAGTGTAAAGAACTGTGGAAGGGCCATGCTGCCAAGGCCTTTCAAGATGAGAAAAGATACAGTAACTTAACAGTTTAGATACCTATTATGAGCATGAAAGATCATGAAACTTCTTTTTAGAATGCAAATAGGCTGGACCAGTCTGTAACAGTAGAGGATGCAATCAAGTAGCCTCTGGTGTCATGCTACCGAGGATACTTATGTATGATAAATTTTGAGGATAGAAGGAAAGTTTTTAATTTTCCTAGCTTGTGTTCACTTATATAGTTTCTCTTGACTAAATAAAATTCTACATTTTTGTCAGGATTTGGCTTCCCCCCCCCCCCCCCTTTCCTTTCTGTCCGTATAGGCCAGTATTTCCTGACACTAGATAAATCAAGAGTTTTGCAATTGAGTTAGAGCAATTTTGTTTCTGCTGTGCTATGTGTGAATTTTGGAAGGGAACAAAGACTTTAATTACTGGGAATAATGTTTTGAAGTACAAAATGGTTTTGAATGATATTTATTTTATACTTCTTTTTTTCCAGTTAAAAAGATGGAGGCCTATTAGAGGACAGATTGTGAGGGTAGACACTTACAACCTCACAGGACTGAGATTTTCAGAGAATTTGCCTGTGAAGTCCAAAGCCAGACTTTGGAATTGGTGTATATAAGCACGTACAAAACAGAATGAATAAATTGACACCTTTAAAAAAAAGTGACATAGTTGAACTCAGTGAGCTTGCAAGCAGTGCTAATCCTATGTGTTGATTAAAAATTTTTACTTCAGGAAAAAAACATGGATGATATTGGATTATTAAGAGTCATACCACTGGCCTTATACTTACCCTGCATGGATAAGTATAAGGCTTTAGCTTTCAGCCATGGGGTAGCAGTGTGGCTAAACAACCTCCTTTTCATTTTTTTAAAATGGCATTTCTATTAGAATAAAGTAGCAATTTCACTAGATAAATAATAAAGCAGAAACCTTTGACTGAAAAGATAAGTGCACCCACTAAATCCTTGGCATTGCTGCAGCTGGGCAGTGTCCTCTTCTGGGGTTAAGGAAAAATCCAGATCATGGTATGAAATAATTAGGTAGATTATTATGGTTTAACTTGAAAGGGTTTTTTGGTTCCTTTGTGGGTGTTTTTTTTTCTTGTTTGTTTGGTTGGTTTTGGTTTTTTTTGAGGGATGACTTGTTTTCTTGAGATAGGCCCTGTCTAGAAGATCACAAGTACTCCAAGTTCATGTTAGCAACTATAAGGGAAAGTTAAATTGGTATGTCTAGGTGTGAATGCAAAATTTATTATTTACTTTCTACTCAGTAAACTAGTTTAATTAGTAGAATATACTAACATCTGAATGAGAAATGCAAGCATCAAACTGGAAACTTTCTTTAGCATTGCATTTTTGATGCATGATTTCAGCATACCACTTAGAAGCCAGGTATGCCTTATTTTGCCTTTTGAGATGGGTTGCTAATGATTCAGTGAAATATGTATCTTTTGGATTGACAGTGTTCCTGAGATAGATTGAGTTGCTGGCCTCTGAGAGGCCTCTCCACTGTTGCATGAGATGGTTGGCTAAAGGATTAGCAAGATGTGGGACTTTTTTTTCCTCTCTTGGCTGTGGTTGCCAGCTATCTGTGGGATTGTAGTGTGTGAAGCTTAAGAGGATGAGGTTAACCTCTTGAGGGTTTATTCTTATGAGTGTGTAGTTAATCCTTAGAAAGCCTATAAATAACTAGGCTGTATGTTTCATTATAAAACAGAAATACAGACTAGAGCAGAAATGAATGCAGAACTTAGTACAAGGGAAGAACTAAACAGCTGTAGCATTACTTTAGATCCTTCTCAGCCTTGATCTGCATTATGTGCTGAGGGAGGGGAAATTGCCTAGTTCTTTTAAATTAAATAAAATGAGATCTAGTGAGCACAAGACACTTTTCTTGCTTTTAATGTAAACTAATGGCAAGTCTAAGTTACTAAACTCTGGGAATAGGAGCTCTATTGCATGATAACATCCTGGGTTATCCTTCATATTTTAAAACACATAGAAATCTTAATTGTATCCTAGGATTCTGTCATGGTAGCTGCTTTTAGAATACAAAGGCTCCAGACCAAAGCAACTGAGGAATGTATTTGTCAGCATGGCAGTTAGTATTCTCAAAATATCAATCCCCGAAAAATGGTCAGATTTTTATCGTTAGTGCCACTAAGTTTTGAGGAAAAATAAGAAAGCACTATTGATGTGTATTGGTAGCTTGACCTACTCAAAAAAGAAAATCTGAGAGAGGGTGTGTAAAATGTGAATGAACAAATAGTGTTAACCAGACTTGTTTTCCATTTGACACATGCTCCTTCCACACCACCAGCCCCCACCCCCCGTGCACTATAGACTGATGGGGAAACAGAGAACCTTGGAGCAGCAATATAGAGGAGGGTAGTGTCTGAATGAGACAATATTCTGCAGAAGAAGGTATTCTCAGTCATTCTGGAGAGGGCAAAATTGCATCCAAAAGTTAAACAGAATTGAATTGCATGCCAGACCTCCCTTGTCTTGCAAGCTTTCCTGTCGGGTGGATAGAAAAGGCTGCATCTTGGATCTTGTCCAAAAAGAAAACCAAGAGATCTTTAGGTGGCTCTCTCATTTAAATCTAGTATCTAAGCGTCAAGTCAAGGGTGAATCCAAGTATATAGTTACAAATTTGTGAAGCTTAACAGCTTTCAGGAAAGGAGTGAGAGGACGATGGTTGGACAGAAATACCGTTAGCTAGAGCTTAAATCTGAAGATA